TAGAGTCGGTCACTCCTGCAGGAATGGACGGCCCAGTAGGATGGGTTTGCAGCCGTGAGCATCAGGCCAGCTCAGCCACTTCTCAGGGCCCAAATCCCATGGGGCTGGTGGTCCCAGTTCCCTCTTGTGCCCAGTCCAGGACGTCTCCCCCAGGAGTGAGCTCACAGGGCGGATGGAAGACCAGCCGGGTCAGCTGTGGGAGAGTGTGGGACACTCTGTAAGGCACTTGTATTTACTTCTTTCCGGAGACAGCACAGAACCCAGGGTGGTGACAGGAGAGCGATTGACAGCCTGCTTCAGCACAGGTGACTGAAAGAGCACATTCCTCACTGCTGTGCAAGTGACTGGTGCTATTTTTAAACAATCTGTTCTCTAACGTCCATTGAATATTCCTATTTCTATGTTTGCACTACAGGAGCCTTTCCCATAGATAATTAGAAAAAATAAATTCAATTCAGTTCAAAGTCAAGTTATTATAAGTTCGTAGTTAGTGAAGTGAATTAAGTGCTTTCTTCTGGGTATTAATGGGGGCTAAACACAGAGCAGCACACAGTCATGAAGGGTAAACAGATCCATAGGAGTAGGTGCTGCCTGTAGGATTTATCTGCACCATGTCTAGTGCACAGTCGCCCTGCTGGTCCATTTTGCTGGCTACACATTTCTGATGGATTGATGGAGACAATGTCCAGAAAATACAGAGGCAGTAAAAGGATGTGAACAGCGTGGGGATTAATTACGCATTAGATCAGTGGTTCTCAACCGTCTGGCCCTTTAAATACAGCTCCTCATGTTGTGACCCAACCATAAAATTATTTTCGTTGCTACTTCATAACTAAATGTTGCTACTGTTATGAATCATAATGTAAATATCTGATATGCAGGATGGTCTTAGGCGACCCCTGTGAAAGGGTCGTTCGGCCGCCAAAGGGGTCGCGACCCACAGGTTGAGAACCGCTGCATTAGATGAAGAGGGGAGCTTGTGAAACTTGGGGTCCTTGATGAAACTCTGAGCCAGAACCTCGGACCAGGCTGCAGCTCCAGGGAGCTCAGCTGGTGCCTCGCCGGTTGGCTTACAGAGAGGACCCCCACTGGCCTCCCTCCATCTCCTGGCTTAATAGAATCAGCATTGTCCTTGGCAGGGCTCACGCCACTGAATTTTTGATGCTCTGAAATGAGAACAAAGCCGGGGATGGACGCATGCCGGGGCCAGGCCTCTCCCAAGAGTCAGCCGTGACCGCCCCACAGCCTCTGTTACTGAAAAGACTTGGCCCTGAGCTTCCGTTCATTTTCACTAGAAAATAAAAACAGGGACAGTGCCAAGTGAATACCATGCGGGAGGCCATGCCTTCCAACAACAGTTTCAAAAACACTTTCCAAAAGTTGGCTTGGACCAGCTGTCACCATCCTTGGTGTTGGAACCAGCCTGGTCCGTCCCCCGGGCCGCCTCTGCCTGGCGTGGACGGTGCCCTCCAGGGTCTCCTGGCGCTCATCCAGCCCACCTGCCCCGTTGGGCATGGAGAACATTCCGAGCCGTTGTGCTGTTTGGTTGGGTTTTGTAATAGTGGACGACGCCATCCACATAAGGGTTAGGGACACTGTTGGGCAGCCACCCTCCCACGGCCTCGTAAGTGTGTCTGTAATGAGCTCAGACTTCTCACATTCAGTGAGCTGCTTCCTTGGGGGCAGCTGACTTTTGGTTCTTGAGCCACAAGTAATTGGAAGAGGCCCAGTTCCAATCCTGGAAAGAAAACAAATTATAAGGAAAGGAGCTGGGACCCAAACGCAGGGGCTGAGTCTGGGGATACTTGTGCAGACTCTGCAGGTGGGCACCCAGGTCCAGGGCGGTCACTTGTGAGGGCGCAGTGTCTTGTGGCCTTTCACCAACAGGGAAGTTTGCCTCTTGGACCAGCTGTTCACCACAGGCCAGGGCCCAGTCCCCTGGGGACACAGTGTTGGCTGGGGGAGCTCGGGGGAGCCTGGGGAGCAGGTCTGGGAGCCAGGGTTCAGGCGGGATGAGGGTGGTGGTGGTGCTCACAGCGTGGGAGCTGGTGCCTGTAGGGAAGGCTGTGTCAGTGCATGGGGACCAGAGGCCCTGCCAGGAAAGCTGGTGAGGATGGGAGGGGGGTGTTCCCCGAGTTCATGCTGGCATGAGCACACACCTGTTCTCAGAGGAACACCATGGGGACCTGAAGGGTGGACAGGCCCCACCACTGAAAGAATGGACATGAGGTCCTGCCACGGCCCACAAGGCCCCACGTTCTTTCCCTCCAGAAGCATCTGCTGGAGTCTGTGTCCTCTCCAAACAGTGGCCGGCCCGGCAGCAGTCAGCAGGTCGCCCTGTCCACCCCCGTGGTTGGTCGGATGGGAGCAGAGTGGTCCGGGAGCAGAAACAGTGCTGAGCTGGCTGAGCAGAAGGAGTTTAGAAGGCGCCCAGCTGGACAGGGGAGGGCAGGGCCACCAGGGTGTTGGGGCAGCTGCACCTGGTGCTCAAACCCATGATAAACTCACGTCAGCACCTGCTGAGGCCTGATTCACCAAAGCCCCGAATGTCTGTGAAACACAAGCAAAAGCCAGGCGAATAAATAGGGGGTGGGGGCTTCAAACCCGGTGAGCCAGCTGAAGGGAGGTTTATGTCTGACCTGATTTGGGCCAAATAGGCCAGATGTGTCAAAGTATGATAAATCGGGGTCTGTTTTCTGGGTTAAAATGTGCAGAAATAGCTCCCTCCAATTAACCTGCACAGCTGGTCCTTAAGGAAACGGCTGGAGGAGGGGGTACCAGGGAATCCACAGGCCTGCCTTCTCCCGAATCCACCAGGATGGGTCTGGCTGCAGGTTGGCACTGGGGTCTCTCCTCCTGCATGGCCCAGGGTCTGTGCCCTCCTCTCCCCAAACTCAGTGGTCGAAACCCCCAAAGGGGGCTCACACAGAACCTAGCTGGGCAGCTGTGCTGAGATTTGGGGCCGGGCCCACAGTCAGCCCAGCAAGGGGTGTTGTATGGGTTGTGTCTGGGGCTGCCGATCACAAGACCACCACAGGTTCCTTGAGGTCCTCAGGCTCCTGATCAGGTGGCGTCCCGGCAGAGATATGTCACTGCTCTGACCTGGTGTCGAGGCTGACTCCATCCACCCTCCTCCCCGTCACCCACTGTCGCTGAGGATGGCGGCTTCCCTCCTAAGCCCTTCCCCAGGGCGGAGAGTGGGTTTCTAACCAGGTCTGTCCCAGTCCCCACGGGCCCTGCGGTCTCTTGACTGAAAACTTGTGGATCCAGGTTTTCCCCAAATCCAGTTACTGGCCCAGATCCAGCAGAAAGCCCCCCTGCTCTCACCAGTGCCCCAAACCATGGTAATCAGGAATGCCCTTCAACCTCTCTGAGCTTACACCCAACTTGACACAGAGGGGTGACAAAGCCAGAGCCCCCCAAGGAGTGTTTCACCCCGGGTCAAACTCAGAGCCCCCCACCCCTTGCCCTGCTGCCCCATGAGGCTCAGGGCTGGACTCAAAAGCCTTCCCACTGGCCCAGGCAGCATGGAGTGACCAGCCCTAAATAGCGGATAAAACTTTACCACCCTCAGGGGATGAGCAAGCACCAAAAATTGCTGGAACAAAACCCACCCCAAACCTAGAAGCAACAAGCTGCAACAGGTCTCACATGGCTGTGAGCTCAGTGAGCCTGGTGTAGGTCTAGGGGAGATGCCCCTCCCCATGGCCAGGGGAACGGAGACCCTGCCTCTGAGCCCTGCTCACCGGCTGAACTCAGGAGGGGTGCAGAAGGGGTTCTTATTTAGGGATGATGCCAGGGTGTGGAGCAGGAGACTCCACACCACCCCACGAGGCTCCCAGCCCTGTGCCAGCCCAGAGGGGTCTAGAATGATGAGCTGGGAGACAGAAGCTGTGGGACTCTCTGCGGCCCACCCTCGTGTCTGGAGGCCACGGAAGCAAGTCCGTGGCCAGGGTTTCCAGGCACACCACAGGGACAATGATTAACGTAGAGGCCAAGGTATTGGGTTCTGACAGCTCATTAATGGGAAGGCCGGGCTCTGCTCAATACACAAATCACCCAATAGTGAGTGCCAGTCGGAGGAAGGTTTTTGGGAGCCCAATTTGCCCAGTTCCTTGCAGACAGTGTGATACATCAGTGCCTGGCCCTAAAGATTCAAGACAGGACTTGGGGAGCAGCCGTGTGGGGTCCCACCACCTCTGTGCCCTTGAGTACCAAGGTATTGAAAAACTGACTGCTGACCCCCAACCTGTTCTCCATTTAAGCCTTAAATTTTAAGGCGTCAGGTGGGTCCTCAAGTTGCTGTCTCTGCGTGGTGGAAGGTCACCACTGCTGGCCCCCACCACTGAGGGCTCGGGAAGCTGGACGGGCATGAGGGTCTGTCCTCAGTGCCCAGAGGGTCATGAGCCAGGTGGGGGGGCACTGCAAGGCACAGGGAGGCCAAGTGGCCCCGGCCTGGCCCCTGGTGGTCTCACCTCCGGGGTGAGGTGGGCCGGGGACTCAGAGCACAGAGCACATGGTGTCAGCTGAGCCCCTCTTCTCCACCCCACTGGCCTGGGGCTCGCCCAGGTGGCAGGCTGAGCAGCTGAACCTCTCTCCTCCCCCCAAGCTGGAGCCCAGAACCCTTGGCTGCAGTCTCTGGAGTGGAGTCTCCTCCCAGGGGTAGGGGGCAAGGGGTCTTGGTTCGAATAGCAAACTCTTTCCTTCCTTCACAGATTTTCAGATTTTCTTAAATAGATGTTGCATTTCCTTCTTGCCCTTAGGACTGTTTCCAGAGTCTTTAAATGGCTGTTTGTTTGTTTTTAAATGATCTTTACCAGTTTTGCTGGGGATCAGGTCAGCTGAGCTCCTGTGGGAAGCCAATATCCAATTAACTTTTTTTGTTGGTAATCCTCACCCGAAGATATTTGTTCCATTGATGTTTAGAGAGAGTGGACGGAGGGAGGGAGAGAAACATCAATGTGAGAGAGATACATCAATTGGTTGCTTCCCAGACCTGGGCAGGATGGAACCTGAAACCCAGGTGCCTGCCCTTGACCAGGAATTGAACCCATGACCCTTCGTGGGGGTGCGGGCTGGCCCGTGGTGCACTCTAACCACTGATCCACACCGGCCAGGGCTTCCATTAAATATTTTTTTACAGGAATTGGGCATTTTTGTGGCTACCCCTGGCCCTCCTGCAGTAGCACACTTGCATGGGTTGGGGTCAGGAGTCAGGGCAGCTGGGTTTGACATCCCTCCATCATGGGGAACCTCTCTGCCCCAACACGTGTCCCTCTCCTCCCCAGGGCGAGTGCTCCCGCAAATGCCACAACCTCTTCGTGATGGAGACGGTGTGCGTGGCCTGGTTCTCCTTGGAGTTCCTGCTGCGCTCGCTGCAGGCCGAGAACAAGTGCGCCTTCCTACGGACGCCGCTCAATATCATCGACATCCTGGCCATCCTGCCCTTCTACGTGTCGCTGCTCGTGG